GATTCACCAATCTTAAGCTCACAAAACACAGTTTTTTCTCACTTAAACCAACTTGTAAACTCCTTAGATCGCTACGAACTGTCAAAATTGTTTAGCAAAGTGTAGTTTGCTTAACAAAAAAAAACTGGCACGGAGAAAGGGACAAACAATCACACCGCTCTGTCTCATTTCTATGCAAGACGTATGCATAAAACTATCTTTTTCGTGTGCGAATGCGAAAGAAGGCGTCAATTTGTTTATAGGTTTCTCTGTCTACGGCTAATATGTTCTAACAGATGTCAAGGATCGAGGTCGAGCCACAGTCGAGTTTAGTTGCCACTGCTACAATAATCTTATAGTTCTGTTGTAGTTTGTGTGAAAATTTTGTTAATCACCCAATGTAGTGTAAAAGATATGATTGTTAATGCAAGTTACCGTAAACATTAGTTTAGGGAGAGTGCACGGTTTTGGGAAAGGAGAACTTAATAAAATAAAGTAATTATTTTGTTTCACATATCTTTTTATTTCTCGACCGAATTTCACAATATCTCACTAAAGTAAAATCACCACTTCTTAACGTAGGTACTTAAGTCGATACTTGTAACTTTCAAAGAAATCTGACTAGGAAAGTCACATATTATAATAATATAAAACATTTTTGTGTTGCTACTAAAACGCAATTTTTTTTACAAATTCTAATTTTGTGCTTTAGGTGCTTGATATTGTATATAATATAAGAGTAATTTTGTCTTTTACTCGTATAGTTTTTATATTGCAGTTTCATTTACTTAACGTATTATTGACAATAAAGAAACACGCAAAAGAAAACGCCTTTGAAAAGTTTTTAATTCACTTCACTGCTATATTACTATATTATTTATGGACAATATTAATTTCTTTATTTGACAAGCTTCCAAATATTCCTAGTTATTACATCGTATCTATACATATTATATGTAGTACATGTAGTACTTTGTAATGTCACGCAATGTAGAATATTACACAAAATGTGGTACTTAGAGAAAATGAACAATTAAAATATATAAACCCACTCTAATTATCATTAGATCTAGTTTAAAAATTGTATGGAAGCACAGTGAAAGTATGCTCGGAAAGATAATTTAGATTAAAAAAACTATTTACCAGTAAGCTATACTCAAAATATTGTGTTATATGTATACAGCGGAATTGATAACTGGAAGATGAATTGAAATTTTTGAAGTCGTTCCCAATTGCACTAAAGAGTGAATTTATTGTAAGTACTGTGTTTCACGTTAGTCAGTCTAACGTTAATTAACTACAAGTTGACCTAAAACATTATAGTGCTATTTAATTATACGCCTGAAATAAAAAAATATTATTGTTTGGGACAGCGGTTACATTTAAGACAAAATCAATAAAAAAATATTGTCGCATTAAATTTTTTGTATAGATTGTATGTATATTGATTGTTACTTAATAAGCGATATAATTTATATTTCTATATTGCGAAAGGTGTATGTAATATCTTATAAACATGAAATTAATTTATGAAAATAACAATTTTCGATCAATAAAAATTATAATGTTTCCTCCATATACAAATAAAAATAACAATAACATAGATTTGTACAAATTAAATTTACATACAAAAATAATACTTTACGAAAATAAAACGTAACATAACATTTGTAAATATAACTACCTAAATTTAAAGAATAAAGTTAAAAGAGTATCTGTTAAAACTACAAACTCTAGTTTAGTGATGACACGGGATTTTAAAAAGAAATTTAAGAAAAATCGTTAAATTATCTTTCGTTGTTTATTTTACTGTTTTATTGCTATGTTGCTGTTGGCCAAATCTACGTAAAATTTTGCAATGTGGTCAACATGTTGAACAATTTTTTGAACAAAATACACGTCCTGTGACTGATCCCTTTGTCGATTATTCGTTTGTAAAAAAAAATAAGTAGCATTTAAAAAATATACACGAATAAAGATTTAAAACTGAGAAACTTGTCGTTTTTTTTAATTTCTTTGATCTTTAATAAGTACGTGTAAATAACTTAATCTATCATTTCACTAAACAAGGTGTCTTTTCATTATAACGCGTATTTTCCTACATTACACTCCATTCCACGTCCCCGGCACTTATAGTGTACTTAACTATTTATTTACACAATATGGTAACTATAATTATGTTATTTTGTGATATTTAGTGTTACTAAGTGTTCGTGTGTCATTTTTTGAACTATGTACAGTTGGTTTTGTATCAAAATATATAACGTAAAATGACAATGGTTAGTACTGCCACAGTTTAAAAACAGTATAACGCGTTAAGCTGTGATACTGCTATGTACGGCTTTAGTAACATTATAACGATTTTTTAAAGTAAAATTAAGGTTTATCACAATAATATCGCCTTATTTACAAAACAAAAAAATTATCTAACTCAACTTTAGTAACCGTAATTCATATAATAATAAGCATTATTTTAATATTATAATAATCAAGCAAGAATTATCTTTAGGATACAACAATAAAATAAATGTAAAGTGTGGAACTCTACGTATAAGGCGTTATTAACATTTGAATAATTTTATCACTTAACAACTTACACAGTATATCTGGAATGTTTTTGTATTTAAAATTCTACTTATTAATAAAATTGAATTTCAATCGATACACTTGCTCAAAATAATTAATCGTGTTTTATCATTCTGACAGTATTAAATAAATCTTTAAAAAAAAACGAGATTGATTAAAAAATGGAGGCAATGTAAGTTGAATATGTTTATTCCCGTGTATTTTGGATGTTTGGTTGTAGATTAAAAAGTATCTTTTGTCATTGCATCCACTCTATTCGCCTTACTCATGAAAATCGATATTAAGTTGAGAAATGCTACTTTTTATTTCTCTTTTAATTAAATGACAATGGAAAGAAAGGTATGACGATAACTAATACACATTTAAGGAAGCGATACTTACCGTTTACGAGTAAGACCACACGTTCATATTATTAATGTTGTCATTAAAATCACGTTAATTGCAAATTCATTACCATACCATCCAAAACACAAATTTCGTAATATATAATATAGGCATAAGTGAGCGTTAAAATAATTTCTTCCATAAAAGTTCAGTCTCGGAAGTGGAAAATATTAAGTCGAGTTTTGTGATTTTATCTCGATCATAAATGAGATAAGAAGTTTTTAAAGTATTGACGTTCATCAATTAAATTATGACATTTTGCCCTCTTAAACAATTATAATAATTCGGGGATAAAGAATGTTAATGTACATTGAGCACGCAAAGTTTTATGAGATTTGTTGACGTGTAAATACGACAAGTCAATAAATTCTAAAGATAATTAAAATACTGTTGGTTATGCCAGTTCATTAATTGTTTTTTAAACATTTTAATTAAGTGAAACAAATATGAGAAAATCGCATTACCGTTAAAGTTGACAGCTCACGACGCTTAGAAAGAATTCGTGCTTAGAGCTCACGGCGCGAAATATACCCGCGTCCGCAGCGGTGGAGAAACTGCTATTATATTTCAAAACAAACGTCACCGCATATGTGTATGGACGTAGTACTATTATTTATTCTGTGGTATGAATGCGTGAACGTTGCGATGGCGGCAACGTCACGGTAATATTATCTATACAGTATTGTAACTCGGTCGTATCTTTCAAATAAATGCCTACAACAGCGCGGTACGTAAACATGTGATAGGGCTGCCTGCCTCCAGCATTTTTACATTTGCCTACTTTGTGTTTCCATTTAGTTTTATAATTGTAAATATACTTTTTATATAAACAAATAAAATAGGTACTTTGTGAATTGAATAGGAAGTGTTCAATAAAAATGCGTGTCGTTTTTTGATTGGTAGATTTAAATAAAAAACCATGTTTATGTTTGAATAACAAATCGGTTAAATAAATTTGCGACCGAAAAATATTTGCGCCTCGGCTGAGACTTACGAAATGCTTTATTATTAGATTTTTAAATATAAAAAATCCGCTTTCTAATATAAAGCTAAAAATAATATAAATTAAAAATTGTTTTGGGAAACGTGGACAAGGTGGAGAAAAGGAATATTTTTTAATTGGTTATAAATACCTGCAGCTACTTTACAATTTATATGTTTGTTTTTAAATGAAGTTCAGATTTATTATTTCTTTATTTCTATTCTATTATTTATTTCCTCCATTTTTTATATATTTCACAAAATCATCACTGCGGCACAGTCTCGACTGTCTGCATGCCGAGCGCATGCCGAGATCGAGGCACGTAGGCATAGCTCTCGCTTCATCCGTTTGTATGAAGTTGGAATACTGTATAGATAATATTACCGTGGCAACGTCCGCGAACTTGGCGGGAGATTATCGCAAGTGGCGTTGGCGCGAAGTGGGTTGTTAGCGCGGGATCGACTGCGGGTAAAGTCACACGCCTGCGTCGCGGCATGCGTAGCGGGAACTGCGAATGTTCGCACGCGCCGTGACCATAAATCGCGTATCGTGTAATTTAATGTAGTCCTATGCCTACATTCATATTATACGCGTGTCGTGTTCCTTCTACCGCTGCGGACGCGGTTAAATTTCGCACCGTGAGTTCTAAGTCCGAAGTTCTGTATATGTTAATTGTACTTAACAAGTTAAATTAAGAAAATCAATTGAACATTCGAATACTCTAGTGCAGGTTTGAAGATTAGAATTAGAATTACAAATGTAAGAAAACCACTTTAGAGCTGATTAAAATAATGTAGAAGAAATGAATACATCCGTAAATAACATAACTACCCAAGGTAAATTTTCCAAAGGTAAAAATGGACTAGCTTTTAAAGATATGTTCTAAGTAAAATGGATCATTCGTCATTACGTTTTCTAGTAAAGATCCCTAGAAAGTATTGGAAAATTCGAAGTGATAATCGAAATACGAATTGAACATTTTTATCAATCAATCAATGATTAATAATTGATTGATTGATTGAATATTTTCACCTAAAACTGGCGTAACCAACACAATGTATACAAGAAATTATATCGAGAACTGCTGGCTCAGTTTAGTGTCATCGCATTGCTCTAGATACAGCGCAGGCCTGTCCGAATCCAGACAGGCGTCAAGCTTCGCGTGCCTGATCATCTGGCCGTGTCTCCTCCACATCTGCGCGTCGTCTGAGGAGTCACAAGCGGCAAGCACTGCCGTCACCCGGTCATCAGGTGACAGCGAGATGCAGAGAGTGTGATGGCGGATCAGACCATTCTCGAAATACCACTCTTGATTGCCACCCGTGTTGTGACAGGGGTACATTCCTGCAGGATTAAAATAAGTTGTTATCAATAAAATCTATAAGCAAGTTAAAAAAAATATAAAAACCAAATTAAAAAAAAAACACTAGGACCATTACAGCTAATGATCATTGTGTGTTGTTTGAGTTTTGTTCCAAACTATTATAACAAAATTAATACAATATAATATTTATATTATAAAATTTAACCGCCTCGTTAGTCTAGTGGTTGTAGTAGTGCGACTGCTGATCATGAGGTCTTGGGTTTGAATCGCGGGTCGGGCCAAAAAATCAATTATTGAGTTTTTCCGTCAAGAAATTCTCAGTAGTTGCCCGGAGTGAGGAAGTTGGTGGTGTCTCCCCTCCGTGCCTCGGAAAGCACGTAAAGCCGTTGGTCCAGCGCCTGATCTCTCTCCGGTTGTGTCGGTTTACCGTCCCATCGGATTATGAGAGTGAGGGAATAGAGAGTGCACCTTTGCTTGCGCATACACTTGGGCACTATAATCCTGTCCCGCGCCGATGGCTAGCCTCCGCTGAGGCAGGCTGCCGTGGCCGGAATTCGGTCTGGAGGACATTCAAAATATCATTTTCAACAATTAATGTGTTCGAGACAGACCAAATTCCGGTCACGACGGCCAATGTCAAGCGAGACTAGCCATCCGCGTAAAATAGGATCATAGTCACAGGTGCACTATTTATTCCCTTATTCTCATGGTCCGATGGGTTCGGACGACACGACCGGAGAGGAACACTGGCAAGGTGCACCAACGGCTTTACGTGCTTTCCGAGGCACGGGGTTGAAACAACGCCAAGTTCCTGAACGGATTGCTACTGAGAATTTCTCGAGGTAAAAACTAAAGAACTTATTATATATCTTTTGGCTCCACCTGAAACTTAATGATCAGCAGGCCTGCTTATGACAACGAGGCAATCGACATTTCAACAATATAATAGTAATAGCGAGTAAAGGCAAGTGCAGAGCAAGAGTTATCAAACCGCAAAGTAAATGCTGGTTGTATTAATTAATAAAATGCGTTTTATTAAAGGCAACGATCACTCACCCAATGTGCTATCGGCCATAAAAACAAAATATTTTTAGTAAAGGCAAAGCCAATGTTTATACACGGTAGAGCCACGCTGCAGCTATTACGATTGTAGCATGAATTTGTCGTCTCTAAAGAGGTAGGAGACTACGCTCTTACAGAATACCAGCATGAAATAGTTGCTTAATACCGCTGTATTTCGTGTAGTGTAGAAGAATCGAGGTATTTCATTTTAATCCTAAAGGGTGACATCGCATCTACATTTTGATTATTAATTAAAAATAGATGTAGGTGCCTATGGACCGCAGCATCGACTACCATTAGGTGGACTGCGTACTCATTTGTATGTTCTGTTTTTGAGGTTGTCTAAAATGAGTTTTTTTTTTACACCAAAGAGCACTCACCTAGTATACCATCGACCATAAAACCAAAATTAGTTTAAGTGAATGCAAAGACGATTTTACCCAAGGTGCCATTGACCATATGGCCCTTGGTGTCGAGGCAGCGCGTGTTAAAAGCAAAGAATTTTCACCAAACGTGCCATCGACCAAAAAAGCAAAATTAGTTTTAGTGAAGGCAAAAACGATTTTACCCAAGGTGCCATTGACCATATGGCCCTTGGTGTCGAGGCAGCGCGAGTTAAAATCAAAGAACTTTCACCGAACGTGCCATCGACCAAAAAAGCAAAATTAGTTTAAGTGAATGCAAAGACGATTTTACCCAAGGTGCCATTGACCATATGGCCCTTGGTGTCGAGGCAGCGCGAGTTAAAAGCAAAGAACTTTCACCGAACGTGCCATCGACCAAAAAAGCAAAATTAGTTTTAGTGAAGGAAAAAACGATTTTACCCAAGTTGCCATTGACCATATGGCCCTTGGTGTTGAGACAGCGCGAGTTAAAAGCAAAGAACTTTCACCGAACGTGCCATCGACCAAAAAAGCAAAATTAGTTTAAGTGAAGGAAAAAACGATGTTACCCAAGGTGCCATAGACCATATGGCCCTTGGTGTCGAGGCAGCGCGAGTTAAAAGCAAAGAACTTTCACCGAACGTGCCATCGACCAAAAAAAGCAAAATTAGTTTTAGTGAAGGTAAAAACGATCTTACCCAAGGTGCCATCGACCAGGTGGCCCATGGTGTCGAGGCAGCGCGGGCCCTGCCGGATGGCGTGCGCGGCGCCGCCCAGCGCCGGCACCTGCAGCTCGGGGTACACGTGCGCCAGGTACCAGCGGAACGGCTTGCAGTGCAGCTTCTCGCGCAGCCGGAGGCGCTCGGAGATGCTACAGAAAAATTTACTATATTTCACAAACGGTCGCATAGTTCACCCGATTTGGAAATGGACCCTGTGGCTCATAGTCTACATCCATCATCGGTTAAGAATCAATATGCGTGTGTCACTTCTGAGAAAAGAAAGAAAATATTTATTTCGCCAAAAAAGGCAAAAAGCCATTCTTAATATATATATATATATATATATATATATATATATATATATATATATATATATATATATATTTTGGATAATTTAGCAATGAGTAGTTTATTTTTATTGTTTGTTGTAGAATATTAACCTCCTTGGATTATTGAACTGAAAATAAAATTGTAAGATGTCACTTTTAAAAAAATGTCATTGTAATCAAGATAGTAAGATGTAATATGTTTTTTGTGACTAAATGAAAATAAAAGAAGCAGTATAAAAGTGAGTGTTTCGTCTCAAATTCTTGAAATATCACCACAACTTTGGGGGCTCGTCCGGGATAGCCCAAAATTTGAGGCGAGACGAAGACTAAAGATTTGAAGATTTATTACAACGTTTTGGAATTTGGATATAAAAATTTATTTTAAGGACTGAAAACTTAATGAGTTCAAATAAACTGTCATTTTGCACGACTAGAAAAAGAAAGACTAATAGTAGTTTGACAACCACAATGCCGCCGAAGAAAGATGTAAAAGAAAGTGAAGATGAAGGGCAGGAGTTAGATATACAGATTTCATTTAAAGACTTGGAGAAGTCAATGAACATTTTTACTGGAGATGACACCTATCCTATTGAGACATTTATTGACGAATTTGAAGATACTGCCGAAATTATGAAGTGGACTAAAGTCGAGAAGCTGGTCTATGCAAAGAGACTTTTAGACGGTACTGCCAAGCTATTTTTACGATCTTTGGGAAGAGTAAAGGACTACGCGAGTTTGAAAAAGTCACTTAAGGAAGAATTTGGCCCCAAGATTAATAGCGCAATCATACATAAGAAACTTGCATCGCGTAAGATGAAGAACGATGAAACTTACCAACAATATTTCCTGTCTATGAAAGAATTAGCACTTCATGGCAAGGTTGAAGACGCTGCGCTGATTGAGTATGTCATTGATGGTATTCGTGATTTAGAGACCAATAAAGTTATTTTATATGGCGCTACAGACATAAAGGATTTTCGCAGGAAGTTAGAAATCTACAGTGCTTTTAGAACGAAGGTGCCTAACAAATCGGCACAGTCTGGCCAATCACATGGGCATCATTCAACCCGTAAGATGACTCATGTAAAAAGATGTTACAACTGTGGCGAACTGGATCATCAATCGCCCACCTGTCCAAAAGGGGAGTCAAATGCTTTAAATGCAATGAATTTGGTCACAAATCAACTGAATGTACAAGCAAACCTAAGAAGACGCTGAAAATTAGAAATAAAAGTGAAGAAGAGAAAGTACCCTACAAAAAGATAAAGATTAATGGTAAAGAATTTGTTACCTTAATAGATACTGGAAGTGATATTAACCTTATAACAAAATCAGAATTCGAGAAGGTTAAAGAGGGAATTAAAGATTATAAAACAGAATCAACGTGTATAACAGGAATAGCCGAAAAACAAATTCTTACTGAAGGAATGTTTACAGCCAATGTTCAAATTGACAATTACTACACAGATGTCAAGTTTCATGTTGTAAAAGACAACGAGATACCGGTAACTTTACTGACTGGAAATCCTATCCTTAAAGATTTCGAAGTGTGTTTCACTCCTGAAGGTGTCTTTATACAAAAGATTATACATCTTACACTTCTAATGGAGGAAAAGGATAATGAACAAGAATATGATATAGGAGATTCTAAATACGCGGAAAAGATTCGTAAGATGTGTGAAGAGTACAGACCTAGTGAAAAGAAGAAAGAAAGTAACGTTGAATTGAAAATAATACTTACCGATGAAGAACCAGTTTTTCAGAATCCCCGACGTTTGTCACCCTTAGAAATGAATGCCGTGAATATGCAAGTAAAAGAATGGTTAGACAAAGGAATAATCAAACCTAGCAAATCTGATTTCACCTGTCCTGTAGTTCTGGCTCATAAAAAAAGATGGGTCACGTAGAATGTGTATAGATTATCGACGATTAAATAAAAAGGTAATTAAAGAAAGATTTCCCCTACCTATAATAGAAGACCAGATAGACAAGTTGAAGGAGGCCAAAATGTTCACGTCTCTTGATCTGAAGATGGCTTTTTACATGTGAAAGTACACAAAGATAGTCAAAAGTACACCTCATTCGTAATACCCCAAGGCCAGTACGAATTTCAAAGAATGCCTTATGGATTATGTACAGCGCCATCTGTGTTTCAAAGATTTATTAACGATATCTTCAGCTATCTAATTACCGATGGGACACTGCTAGTGTACCTTGATGATTTAATCATACCCTCGATAACAGAAGAAGAAGGAATAAGTAAGCTAGAGAAAGTATTTAAAAGAAGCGAAGAATTCGGTCTAGAGTTTAATTGGAAGAAATGCCATTTTTTAAAGAAGGAAATCCAATATCTTGGATATATTATTTGTGACAACGAAGTAAGACCGTCTCCAGAAAAGATTAAAGCTGTAGCGAATTTCAAGAAACCAAACAATATAAAAACTGTGCAGTCATTCCTTGGACTGACAGGGTATGTCAGAAAGTTTATAAAAAACTATTCCCTGATTGCAAAACCGATGACGGATTTGTTAAAGAAAGATGCTGTATTCAATTTTGATGAAAGGTGTGAGACAGCTCTTATAGAATTGAAACAAATATTGTGTAACTCACCAGTTCTCCGAATATTCAATCCAGATTTAGAGACAGAATTACACACCGACGCAAGTACTGACGGTTATGGAGCTGTTCTTCTACAAAGAAGCCCTAAAGACAATCAATTTCACCCCGTGCACTATATGAGTAAAAAAACAACTCCAGCTGAAAGAAAATACCATAGTTATTACTTAGAAATTTTAGCTATTGTTGCTGCCATAAAGAAGTTCCGAGTTTACCTTCTAGGGATAAAATTTAAAATAGTTACAGATTGCTCTGCTCTTACTATGACACTACAAAAAAAGGACTTACCACCTAGAGTCGCTCGTTGGGCCCTGCTTCTAGAAGAATACGACTACAAGATCGAACACAGACCAGGAACACGAATGAGACACGCCGACGCACTGAGCAGATATCCTATCTGTATGATACTTACTGAAACTACAGCTCGTTTAAAGAAAGCACAGAATGAAGACGACTATGTGAGACTGATTAAAAGAATTTTAGAAACAGAAAAATACAAGGATTATATCATACAGAACGAAATACTATATAAAGAGAAAGATGGCAGTAAATTGATTGTTGTGCCTAAGAAAATGCAGTATGAGATAATCAGGAAAAATCACGAAAAAGGACATTTTGGAATCTTAAAAACTGAAGAACTGATTAATAGGGAATATTTCATTGAAAATTTAACTGAAAAAATAAAAAATGTCATAAGTAATTGTATTGAATGCATTCTCATGTCGCACAAAAGAGGTAAAAAAGAAGGATTCCTACACCCGATAGACAAAGGTAATGTCCCACTATCGACATATCATGTGGATCATCTAGGACCAATGACTTCGACTCACAAGAATTACAAATACATCCTTACCGTCGTGGATGCTTATACGAAATTTACATGGATTTACCCTGTTAAGACTTTAACCACGAAAGAGACTTTAGAGAAACTAAGACTACAACAACAAACCTTTGGAGCACCTGAAAGAATTTTTACTGATCGAAACGCTGCTTTTACTTCAAGAGACTTCCAGGAGTATTGTAAGAGTGAGAATATAACGCACTATACAATTACCACCGGACAACCCAGAGGAAACGGTCAAGTTGAGCGCATCCATCAGATTATCATAGCCGTGTTGAGCAAACTAAGTGCTGATGACCCGACTAAATGGTATCGCCGTGTGTCCAAAGTACAACGATGTTTGAATGGAACATACCAAAGAAGTATAAGAATGACACCATTTGAACTGCTTTTTGGCACTAAAATGAGAGATAAAGATGATGAACTTCAGAAATTAATAGAAGAAGAAAGCATACAGAATTTTAACGAGAAAAGAGAAGAACTTAGAAAGAAGGCCAAAGAATCTATACAGAAAGTACAAGAAGAAAACATAAAAAACTATAATAAAAAAGCGAAGAGCAGCAATACCCTTTAATATTGGAGATTTGGTAGCCATAAAAAGACACAGTTCTCACAAGGAAGTAAATTATGTCCTAAGTACTTAGGACCCTATGAAGTTGTTAAATGCAATTCAAACGATCGTTATGTTGTAAAGAAGATTGGTATCAGCGAAGGCCCGATTAATACAACCACCTCAGCTGATGTATATATATATATATATATAAATAAATTACGTGTCACGTTGTTTCTCCGCGATTGACTTCTAAACTAAGTACTTTACTGATTTTAATCAAATTTGCACACCGTGTGCAGTTTGGCCCAACTTGAGAGATAGGATAGTTTTTTTGTCTATGAGTGATTCACATTTTTTTTTTGCTAATTTAAGGATTTTTAATAGGCCATGACAAAAGGTCGTCGCAAAGGGCAGCAGGCTAGTTGTATATAAAATGTTTTCTTATTTTGAAAGTTATTATTAAGGGGAAATATAACCTCAAATGGCTTGGCAAGATCCTCCGTTTATACCGAAAATATTGCAGCATTAATTTTGAAATGAATATATGATAAAGTTGAGAATTAATATTAATTACTTTGTTAGACGAAAACACGATTCCGTAAAATTTTTTCGATATAAAAAAATCCAAAGTTATCTCCAAACTGAACAATAAACCGCTGGTATTCACAAAATACTTTAAATAAGATCATGAAACTTTGCATACTAACTGAACTAACTATAAAGCAGGACTTGTGTTCTTTTTTTTAAATTACCATTATTTTCACTGTAAAAAGAAAGTATCAATACTATCGGCGTCCTGAAGCTTGGAACCGGGCGGCAGGAAACAAGCTTCAGGACGCCGATAGTTTACGTACTTTCTTTTTTTACATTTTTAACAGCGATTTAACATGCATATATATCTTCTTAATATATATAAATTACGTGTCACGTTATTGATCCGCGATGGACTCCTAAACTACTGAACGGATTTTAATCAAAATTTGCACACCGTGTGCAGTTTGGTCCAACTTGAGCGATAGGCTAATTTTTTTTTGCCCATGAGTGATTCAAAATTTTTTTTTGCTACTTTAAGGATTTTTATAGGATATGACAAAGGGTCGTCGAAAAGAGCAGAACAAAGTCTGCCTGGCAAGCTAGTATATATATATATATATATATATATATATATATATATATATATATATATATATATAAATTAATTGTAGGCCTTAATTGTTCCGTGTGTGGATGTTTGTTGTTGTGAAATATACGTGCTATATAGCAGAGAATCCGAGTGTATAGGTAACATGAACGTACAAATACAGTAACATATAATGCTTACTCTCCATAATCCACCTGCTTGGCCAACGGCTGAGAGCGGTAGTAAAGTTCCTTGTAGTCATCCATCCAGACCTCGGCTGCCCTCCTGGTGTTACGTGCGAACACGGCTCCCGAGCCCCCCGGGAATGTGTACGGGTGCCGCTTGCGGAATACGTGTCCCACTCGGGAACAAGGCACGATCTCAAGCGAGCCGCCACATTGCCAGACTCTGTTAACAAATATTATAACTAATAAACGCCTTAAGGTGGATTTTACGCCTTAAGGCGTTCTCTATCAGTCAATGTATAAGTAAGCAGAGAACACTGGTTTCGAGGTGCAATATGATTTGTAAGAGAAAAAACTAAGGATTTTTATGAGTTAATCCGAGGTATTACCAGTGCTAGATTTTTGCTGTGCTAGATAGTTTGAAAATTATCTGTTAACTATTTTAGTATTTTTGGTAACAGGCATTGACTGTGTTGAGGCGGTGTAAGAATATCACAGATTGGGGGTTTTCTGTGAAGAATATACTACCCTATATCGTCCAGTAGGTGTCGTAGAGGGCGACAGAGGGATCAAAAACTAAAACCGCGGTTACCAACCCCCCTGATAAGCGTGGCAATCATTGCAAAATATCCGACGTTTGAGGCAATCTATGGGGAAAACCATGTTTAGAAGTGGACCTTTAACAGGCTGTAACGTTAACAGATACCAGTATAAACTATATTGTACAAATACAAGGTTCTGATATCTGATACTACTATACTTTAAATTAAACAATCACAATAAAAATGTTTATTCTGTAACAATAAATTTACATTATAACAGTACACAGAAATCTCCCATTAAGTAGTTTTGAATACTTGTGGCAACTCTCTCATAATTAGTATACAATACTTTAGGTACAGGAATAACTTCCTAATTATAAAAATGTATGTAAATAAGAAACTTCAATGTCATGCTTGTAATTCTCATATATCTTTTCATACAGATTTACTCTAGCATTCCTGTCATACGTTTTACATTTCATTTTCTTTTTCAATTTTAAGTTGCATTGCAAATGTTTTTTGCCTTCTATCGTCCTGTCACTAAAAGCCCTCAATAACGAAACACGTCTTTGTGTTTTGCAAAAAAAAAAAATCACAGAATGTTCTATAAATTGTAGACCTAATGAACTGTTGTGAAGTATTTACTTAGTCCTGTGCTATCCATTTATCATTGCTTTAATCTGTATTACAAATTTTAGTCCAAAAATAGATATTTCGATCTGAATATAATTTAAAATAAACCGCCCCGATAACGGGTCAAGGACAGGCGCTGTTCTAGAGTTAAAGTTTGGACGAGATCAAAAACTGAAATTTCAATTCCCATGCTGTCCTTTTATTTCAATGTGGAGCAAAGGTGGGGGGGCGGTGGGGAGGTTCATGACTGTTATTACTCTTCATAGATTCGAGAGAGTATTAATAGTTCTGGTGGCGCTGGGCGGAGCGGCTCAAGTAAATAACAATTACAGTTTACTTGATGCTACGTGGCTACTGCATCGTATGGATCTGCAACCTACTTCCCCTGGGTAATGAACCCTGGAAATAAGATGATCACTACCATGTTTTTTTTATAGGATAGGGTGACAAACGAGCACAAAGTCCCCCCGGATACTAAGTAGTAGCTGCGGCCCATAGACATCTACATCTATCCTAGATTACAAATCAAAATGCAGATGCGTTGTCACCAGGGAGGACTAAGATGGAATGCCTCGTTCCAAGTAAAAAAGGTTTCCAGTTCTCTACACTCACCATACGAAACACAGCAGTATAAGCTACTATTTTACGTTGGTATTCTGCGAGAGCGTGGTACTTCCCCGGTCGTGCCGACCTATTCGTGCTACAACTATACCAATAATATAACTGCAGCATGGCTCTACCACGTATGAAAAAAATGTTATTTCTAAATATGTTCATACTAATCCACGCTGGTTTTCTTAATGTTTCAGGAATCTCTGTTTTTTTTTTCGATCCAATGGTAGAAGAAAAAATTACTTTCAGTAAAATGTTACCTATATTGAATAAAAATGATTATTTTCTATTCTATTCTATTTCGATCTTCAACCTCCTCACCCAGATGGATTTCTAGGCAGAAAAGTTCCAGCCACCCAGTGAAGACATTGGTTATACAGAGTATAACCGTCTTCTATGAAATTACATAAGTATACCACGCTCAACTCACCGAAAAGATATTTCAAGGTTCTCGCCACCCCAAACGTCCATCTTCATGTCATATTTGCCTAGCTTGTTGAAGTACTCCCGGTCCATGCTGAACAGACCTCCGGCTATCATAGGTGTCCTGATCACTTGTGTGGGGTCGCTCAGTCGGGCGCTCCTCTCCGCGTGTGACAAATACTCCCACTAAAAAGTATTTATATTAAAATACCTTTAAATATATAATTGAAAATTTTGGACGTTTGTAAAGCGCAGTTGTGTGTGCTGGCTAGTTGTATGTTAGCGTGTGATGGCTCTGAGGGACACGAGAGGAAAACGTACATTGTTTCATTTAGAATCTGTATAAGTGGTGGTTGTCCCAAATCCTTAGACACTGATTACCTTAAATATTTGCAATTATAGTCAACCAAATCTAAGAAATACCTTTTGACGTTTCACATTACTCATTCAGCAATAACTTTGCACAAGCGTACTCGCACGATTTAAAATAAACTTTTACGTAAATCCGAAGAATTATGAAGTTATCTATATTTCATTACAACGTGTATAGGTTTTTATCAATAATTTAAATTCTAATCTTTCAAACAAAGCAAAATCTTAAAAAAATAACCAGTATCAACTTTCTTACTTGACGTCGTTTCAATGATATGTCGCTATGTACCTTACCGTAGTGTTTGGATGATTAAAATTCATTGTTATGCGAATGATGAGCAAAAATATTTAAATAATCGATAAAAATATTCAAATAATCGAATCATTTTAATGTATTATTTGTTTAATAAGATTATTATTTTTGAAATTTCTTAAATTACATAATCATGAATAAAACAAGTTTTTTTTTTTACTTTGTCATCGTAAATTTGTGTAGACAAAACAAACTCATATACAAGGCCACGTTGAAAAACTTACTATGCGTAACAGACCTAAGTAAAAACTTACTAAGCATAATTTTGTGATTTTGTGTTTGTCTTCTTATTTTGTGACTCGGCTTTAACTTTTTGGACTGTTTCTTATATATTCGTTGAAGCATGTACCCATGTCACAAAGGATGATTGGGCAAAGGTGGTAGAGAAAACAAAAAATTGAAAAAATTAATGAAAATCAAAATATAATTAATCTAAACAACGACAGTTCAACTAGTTGTACTGAAAGTGATTGAATACATTTATTTTAAATCTAGCCTATCTCAATCTCAAATTTTTATAACTATGCCTCTAGAAATAAGCAGTAACAACAAATACGAAGAAACTGATATGTTGTGTTTTAAATTATCCATATTTAATTTATTTTAGTATTATTCAAACCAAACTGTAAATGATTACCAACTCTAAATAATCGATATCGATTTGTTTAAGAATCGAATATTGTACATTCCCATTTTTTGGTTGGCATGCTTGGTGCATTAAGTCTGACAGCTGTCAAAATGTATTTCTTAGATTTCGTTGACTATAGACTGTTAGAGTCCGTTAGAGTATACTTTTAAAATTACCTGTGTGTGTTCGTGACAATTATACATAGCTATACAAGTTATTCTGTCTGATAAGTTATAAATAGGGTTAATATCGGAACAGATAAATTAAAAAAAATAATCTGCCCTATGGAAAATACAAGGAAAATACCCACACATACTTTTACCTGAATATAGTTTATAAATTATAACAGATTATATAATTATTTTAAGTATATATTATTGAAGTCATTGCAGGCTTTGTTCGTGCCGACGGAAGCAAACTAGGGTTGCTCGCGTACTGTGAAATTTACAGTGGGCAATTCGCCCCTGATCTACCACTACTGTCTCTCTCCTAGCTCTATATGTATATCTTTTGTTAATATATATATATATATATATATATATATATATATATATATATATATATTATATATATATATATATATATATAGTTTAGTAAACATACACAAATGTAATGTATATTGTCATAGTGCACACTGTGTCTGCCTATATTTCTTTTCAGTACGTCAATAGGCCAGTTGGAAGTTTTAAAATGATATAAGCAGCCTCTATACAAATATTCTTTTTACTATTTATTGCACATAGACTATTAAATTAATAAATAGTAATGAGGAACTGTGCTAAGTATAAAGGATAAAGGTAAAGAAGCATGTTTATAACATGAAAACAAAATATAACGTTGTGTTATTTTTATCACGACTAAGTGGTATGATCTAATGAAACGTAAAATCCGTGTGATTTTTTTGTTATTATATCCATCGATTTGCATTCAATTTTCATATCATATTTATTTGTTTGTTAGTAATAAAAAAAAATTCTGGCAGAGGCAGCTTTTAGTTCGGTAGTAGACTCGTACTCGCATGTCGTGGCCAGACCGTAGAATTGATATTTCGTAAAATCAATTATTTGGTAATATGGCGGCATTTCATCAAATTGAAAATATTTACATGTTATAATATTATCATCATTTCTTCACAAGTCCAATGCTGAACATAGGCCACGCCCAAGGAATGCCACAAAGCACGGTCCTGAGCCACCTGCATCTATTGACTTCATGCATATCTTACCAGATTGTCACTCTATCTAGTGGAGGGACGCCCTTCATTTTGCTTACCGATACGAGGCTGCCTCGACTCCTGCCAGTTGATTCGAGAACCTTTCTTCCCCATCGGTTGCCAGCTCTCCGAGCCATATGGTCGGTTACTGGTTCTAGTACAGACATTCTTTATATATAATATGACCAGTAATAATTCGCTATGTCATGAAATGTTTGCGATCACTGAAATGGCCGGGCACTTTATGATATTCTACGACTGGCCACGACAGATATACAATTTGAAGTTGTTGTTCTTGTATCATTTCAGAAAAAAATATCTTTATACTTTACTTGGTATATAAATGTTATTAGTGGATAAAGTAGAGAACTGAATATAATTTACAAAAATATCTAATACAATATGTACACCTTGTTTATTGCCGGAAATTATCAAAGAAAAACTAACATTATCATATATTTCCCCAGTGTAGTCATTTTATTATAAAAAACTTTATTACATAAAATGTTAGGACCAAGTATCGAAGACTCCTATGCCGCGATCGCGATAAAATTAATAGACCACCGTTGCTATGGAGACAAGTATTGATCATTGTAACAAAAGCTACGTGGTTTCAGACCGAAAATGGCGTCGATATGTGAGACGTGTAATAGGAAAGGCTAGTGGTTTACCTTGAAGACCAGGTTCCAGTCGAAACCGCCGCGAAGGTCCGCCGACGCACCGATGTACTGAAACGTGTCCATACTGATAACATCGATCACCGGACACACCACACGTGTTGGTTCCTGAAAGAAGAAGACGATCAAATGATTATTCTCAGAAATTTAAAGCGAACTGACTTATGGGTGTGGAGTGCGAAACTAAAAGTCATAGATCTCAATCCGTCATTCGAGTACTGTAGTAAACTGCTCCTTACAAAAACATTTTAAACTTCTTTGGAGTGATTGACGTAAATATCTCAAACAAACTGAACAAGAGGAAGTAGGAATCGCTAAGGGTACTCAATAATAATTCCTAATTACTTAATTATATAGTTCATCCATCACGTGAGTCCAGTCTCGACGGTTTTTGACTGTTTTTAATATCGATACACGAATGCCGTGAATTAACAACGATAATATTTATATGACATGATAGTGTAAGCGGTTTGGAAAGTAAGTATTTAAAAAAAATATATAATAAGGGTGACAAACGAGCACACAGTCCACCTGATATTAAGTGGATGCTGTGGCTCATACACATTTACATATAACCTTGATTAAGAATCAAAATGCAGATGCGTCGTTACCACTGAGGACTAAGATGAAATACCTCGATTCCAGTAAAAGAGTCTCCGGTTCTCTACACTCACGATATGAAACACAGGAGCATTAAGCTGCTATTTTACGCTGGTATTCACTAAGATATTTAAGTATACTTTTACTAAGATATATAAATAGGTAACTGAAATTCATAAATTATAGTTAAGCTCCGAACCAATGTTTGGTTCGAACAATTTCTAACTTTAAACTATATATTATTATCTATGACTTAAGGAATAAGTCGATTGAAGGACAAACTTAACTTTGCAGAGGCAAAAACGTACTTCCGTTTATACATCGGTCTACATCACGCTCGATGCTCCAACTTCAAATGGAAGTTTGTAGGCAAAAAAGTTTTTATGTGACATTATTACAAATCAATGGTTTTTGGATTTTTTCCTTTAGTTATGTAGTGAGATCTTGTTTCTTGTCAACAAGGGGAAGTAGGGAAGTAGGATCCCTAAAAGTTTTGATGGGTGAGAATATGTGTCATAAATGGTCAAATCGATCAAATCGAAATCATATCTTTGATTTAGGAACTAGAATTTTTTATACCCACTTTTTTACACACAGGCCTCCTTTCTTTTCTGAGAGGGTTGTAGGGCAGGGAAATGTCCGCCGCACTGCCCCAATGGATGTGGGGAACCTAACATGACCTCGAAATATATTTTTTTATTTCTTAGGCATGCAGGTTTCCTCACGATGTTTTCCTTCATCGCCGAGCAAGTTGTAAGTCAGCACTTAAAGTTACAATTAACAATTTCAGTGGTGCCTTCGACTAGACCTTAGTAGTTGATATTAATTTCAACTATTCAATATCAATAATTCAATCATACAAGTTAATATGATAATTCAACTAGACCCAATTAGACGTTAGACGGACGGACGGACAGTCGGACAAAAAGTGACCCTATAATAGTTCCATTTTTACCATTTTATATACGGAACCCTACAGAAAATTAAAAAGAAAAACAATACCGTTAACGAAATGTTAAACTAGCAGTTTAAGACCGAATTGTATCACATGGAGAAGCGCGTTTAATTAATTACCAATTATCATGCGTAAATAAGAGTAAGAGGCGATAATAGGTAACTGGAACAGGAGATGGGCAGCAGAATCTTTTTGGTAACAACTGAAAACAATATAAAACTGTGGTTGCCAATCCGCTTGTCATGCGTGGTAATTATGGCAGAATCTCCTCTTTGAGGTAATCTATCAGGGACGCCTATGTTCAACAGTCTTTTTTATAGGCTGTAATGTGAATGAATGAAACAATTCATAACATCTAATTTGACGTTCTTTAATTTACTTTTTTTTCGATTCTTGTGAGATGTTATAATTAGTTATTTGGTGACATTTTATTGTATAAAAGGAATACAAAGTGCGGACATAATGCATTTTGGCATTCTTTCCCAGTCAACTAAAAGTGAAAGGTGCCTTAAGCTAAACTAACTAAAACTAATTATGGTCAATCATAAAAAATAGCAAAGTTAAAATTATATATAAACATACAATACTTTTAATACGTACACATAATATTATACTTGTAATATGTCATCATCATCAAAAGAGTCCCTCAAAAGTCCACTGCTGAACATAGGCCACCCCCAAGTGGTGTAACGCCACATATAACGTTCCTGAGCCACGTGCATCCATCTACTTCTTCCTCTAACTTACCAAATCGTCACTCCATCTAAGGGGTCGCCCTTCACTTCGCCTACCGGTACGAGTACGAAGCTATCACTCGAGAACATTTTTCCCCATCGGTTATCGGTTGTTAAGGCTATATGGCCGCCTCCTTGCCACTTGAGCTTACCACTCATTTCTAAGTATTGTAATATGTATACATATGTATTTATGCAAGGACTTAAAATATATCTGATGTATTTGTTGAAAAGGCGCTCTAACTTGTAAGGAGATTTTGGTTAAAATTTTTGCAACACACATCTGCTTGAATAGTAATCGGTTGTATGAGTAACTGGAACGAAATTTTTAAGCAATAAAGTGAACGTAAAATATCGGGGACTTTACGACACGTTCAGAGATATGGTAATCCCCAGCTCAGATATTATCAATGCGACTTTATTAAATTATAATTTTAACTAAGGAAGAAAATTATTGATTAAAACTACTTTTACGGATTTTATCGCGTTTTATTTATTTTTAATACCCGACGTTTGGGGTGCTTAAGCACCCATGGTCACGGGGGACTGAGGTGACTGACGTCCCCCGTGACCATGGGTGCTGGAAAGCACCCGAAACGTCGGGTATTAAAAATAAATAAAACGCGATAAAATCCGTAAAAGTAGTTTTAATCAGTGTATAGTGTTCGCGTAAATATAAGAAATCATTATGAAGAAAATTATATAAAGGGAATATCATAATAGGCGGATTTGTATTATAATATTCCCTTTATATCATCGTATCGATGACGGGTGTTATTATATTTGAACGAATACAAATTTCTATCGTACTATAGTGGAAAAATACATCACCCCTTTTGCACTCGTTGCATGCCAGTTCTATGTGCCAACCAACGAAATACGGCGTTAAAGTCGAAAATATTGTATTTTAAATTACCCTTTGTCGAAAATTTGGTGTTCTCAACATCCTGATACCATACTCGTAGTTTTACCGGGCTATATATACATATATGACACATGGAACGAAATGGGGTGAAGCCCAAAAAAATTGCATCTACACGGCTTTTAGTTTATCGGATATACATTTCTGTGTGTTATTGAAGATGTCATTGTATGTATTTCTTCTACTTCTTCATCAGTACTTATCCATTAGGTCTATATGCAATTGTACTATACAACTGAACATGGATCTGTATCTTAGAATTGCAGTACATCATTTTTAATCTTTGATTTCAGGTTTAGCATTTCAATAATATGCTATATTTTGTAGAGGTTTTGTACGTGATAGAGCCAATTTGCAGCTATATTATGGTTGTAGTACGAATGGATCGATTCGACCGGGAAAGGATCACGCTCTCGCAGAATAGGTACCAGCGTAAAATAGAAGCTTAATGCCGCTATGTTTCGTATGATAAGTTTAGAGAACCGGAGACTATTTTTAATGAAAACCAGTCCAGGGGTCCTGTCCTAGGGGTGATAACGCATCTGCATGTGGGTCGCAGAATCCACTTACCATCCGGTGGACTGTGTGCTCGTTTGTCACCCCCTAGTCCATTAAAACCCTACTGGTTAATTTTACTACATTTACCCCTGAGGATTACGTTGGAATGCCTTGTAACCAGTAAAAAGGGTCTCCGGTTCTGTACACTCACCACACGAAACACAGCAGCATTATACTGCTATTTTACGCTGGTATTCTGTGAGAGCGTGGTCCATCCTCCGTCGAGTCGACCCATTCGTGCTACAACTATAATATAACTGCAACGTGGCTCTGCCACATAAATTGGACAACAGTTGCTCCACAAAAAAAAATCACGAATGCTTCAAATGATAAGTTTACCCAAGGTATAATTTATTACCAACGCGATGAAGTTATGGTTCGCAAATGTGCTGGAGAGACTTATTCTTCAGCATAAATAAAAAATATGCTTAATAGTTATTTCATTGACTTACGATTACATTGCAACTCGAATTTGTGGGTTAATTTTAAGGCGTGTAGGTCACCCGGTCTTTTAAACAAGTATCTGCAAAGGATCGACCGCTGACTTGTTTGAACACACGTTGAATTTAAACTCCGATTAATGTTATATATAGCGTGTAACAAACCAGGGTAATTTTGTGAAAATCATAAATTTCAAATAAGGGCTGTAATGATGATCGTTATAAAGTAGAAGATAATAAGCAAATAATGTGACGTTATAAGAGCTTTAAACAAGCTTTTGTATATATTTAAAGTTTTAAAGTGCTACTTTCTTAAAACCTCGTCAGGTTATCCGACGACAAATTTTTTTTCATGATATCAAATCATGAATCAAAAGTGATATCTTTAACAATTTTGATTACAAGAACTAAAATTTTTGCGGATAGAAGGAAGGAACGTAAAAACGTTTAGATTAATCAGAATGATTGGATTTTAAGTTTAAATAAAAAAAGTTTAAAAAGTTACAGCCTACGTCCCAATGCTGGACATATCTCCTCTCATTTCTGAGTAAATCAAGAGTTGCATCCACATAGCCTTCAATAGTCCAATACCTCTCACCCATCTAAAGATGTGGCACATTTAGATGTGAGCGATAGTAGGCCAAGGTTGGATATATAAATAAGTACTTACGTCAAAATCAGCACTGAATCATTTTATTAAAATTGAGATGTAATTTGAAATATTCGTGCTGATTTGTAATCACTTGTCTATTATGAAATACAATCGATGAATTTTTTAAATAAAGATAATTGGTTTAAATAAATATGAGGATGTTGTTTAGTTACATTGCTTCATAGTAAGAACTACTTGTAAGCCGTTGAAAGAAAAAATATTTTTTCTTAACAAAAAGTAGTATGAA